AAACAAATAAATGGAAAAATATTGTGTCCACAGATTAGAAAATTAATATTGTTAAAGTGTCTATACTACTCAAATCAATCCTCAGATTCAATGCACTCCCTATCACAATGCCAATGACATTTTCCACAGAAACAGAAAAAAAAAACAACATCTAAAATTCATATGGAAACAAAAAAGTCCCCAGATAGCCAAAGCAATCCTGAGAAAAAATACAAAGCTAAAGGGATTACACTTCCTGAGTTCAAATTGTATTATAAATGTATAGTAATCAAAACAGTATTGTGCTGGCATAAAAACAGACACATAGGGAAATGGGACAGAATCAAGACCCCAGAACTAAATCCATGTATATACAGTCAACTAATATTTGACAAGGAAGCCAAAAATATTCAGTGGGGAAAAGATAGTCTTTTCAACAAATGGTGCTGGGAAAACTGGATATTCAGATGCAAAATAATAAAACTGGACCCTGATTTTACAACATTCACAAAAATTAACTCAAAATGGATTAAAGACTTAAATGTCTGAAGCCATATAACTTTTAGAAGAAAACATAGGAGAAAAGTTCCTTGAAATTGATCTTGGCAATGATTTCTTGGATCTGACACCAAAAGTATAAGCAACAAAAGCAAAAATAAACAAGTGGAATTACGTCAAACTAAAAGCGTCTTCATAGCAAAAGAAACAATTAACAAAATGAAAAGGCAACCTACACAATGGGAGAAAGTATTTTTAAACCACATATCTAAAGGATTAATATCCAAAATATATAAGGAACTCACACAACTTGCAAATAATAATAATCATCTGATTTTTAAATGGACAGAGGATCTGAATAAACATTTTTCCCAATAAGATTGTTCAAAAGTCAATAGACACTTGAAAATGTGATGAATATCGCTAATTATCAGAGAAATGCAAATCAAAACCACAGTGAGATATCACCTCATACCTGTTAGAATGGCTATTATGAAAAAGACAAGAAATAACAAATGCTGACAGTATGTGGGGAAAAGGAACTTTGTACACTGTTGACAGGAATTTAAATCAGTCCAACCACTATGAAAAGCACTAAGGCGATTCCTCAAAAATTAAAAATAGAACTACCACATGATTCAGCAATTCTACTTCTGAGTAGGTATTCAAAGGAAATCAAATCACTATCAAAGAAATAACTTCACCCCTGTGTTCACAGCAACATTATTTGCAATAGCCAAGATACAGAAAAAAAATCTAAGTGTCCATCAGCAGATGAATGGATAAAGAAGCTGTGGTATATATATTTTGATGGATATTATTTAGCCATAAAAAAGAAGGAAATCTCGCAATTGGCAACAAAATAGAAAAAACTTGAGGGCATTGTGCTAAGTGAAATAAGTCATATGGAAAGACAAATACTGTATAATCTCACACGTGGAACCTAAAAAGTATCAAACCTCATAGAAACACAGAGTAGATTGATGATCGCCAGGGGCAAGGAGCGGGAAGAGTTGGGGAGTTGGTCAAAGGGTACAAACTTCCAGTTACAAGTTCTAGGGATGTAATGAACAGCATGGTGACTATAGTCAACAATACTGTACTGTATATTTGAAAGTTGCAAAGACAACAGATCTTATATAATACATGTGAAAAAATTATAACTATGTGAGGCAATGGATGTGTTAACTAATCTTATTGCAGTAATCATTTTGCAATGTATACATATATCAAATCATCACAGTGTGCACCTTAAACTTACACAATGTTATATCAGTAATAATCCAATAAAGCTAGGGTGGCAGGAGAAGTGGGCGAGAGGAGAAGAATAGAGAAAGCAACAAACCACGGCCTGGCTTCAGGGGCCATTTCAGATTCTCGTTAGCAATCTCTCTCTATATCCTGGGCTGGGTGCTGTGTGATATTTTACATATTTTACAACTAAGCAATATAAAGAGGAGAAAGATAAGCTAGAAGGAAATTCTGGTAATAACTTTTTCAAAGCCACTAAATTCATCAATAGTAATAATAATTGGAAAGGCAAATGATGCAGCAAATGGTGCTTATCCTGAATCATGAGAAGCTGAAGATCAAATGTTGGGACACTGGTTTACATTTTGCAAATCTTGTGTTTACACGTCATTATGAAGACACCTAACCCTTTTGAGACTGATCAACCACACACAAAGAATCGTCTCTCCTAACGAAGGGGAGAGATGCACTGAAATAATTGTTTGGGCGAAACTCACTGAAGATCTATTATTTATTCTGTGCTGTACCCGTATGATTTTATAGACACCAACCAACATTTCCTTACAGGTGAAATCAGATTAAAGAACATTAAGGCAGCTATTTTATGGGGAAATGAAATAAATGAACAACACGAGAAGGGTCTATTATTCATTCATCCAATATTTACTGGATGCATAGATGTACCAAGCATTGTTATGTTAGTTAGGTGAAGTTAAAAAAAGGTTTAAAATTAATAAAATAGCTTCTGCCTTCTAGAAGCTAACAATCTAAAAAGAAAGGTTGACGTAAACTCTTGACAATATTATGGAAGAGTGGAGAGTATGCCTGGAGGAAGGGTAGGAAGAATCTTACCACTTTGCTTTGGATATTGAAATGTAATCTAGGAGCAAATGGGTTTATAGTGGGCTACAGTTTCCCAGAAATCTGACCAATTTAGAGATAGGGGATGGTGCGGGTCATTCCATTGTTAAACACTACATATTATAGTCTTCCTGCAGAGATTCAATACAAACATTAACAAATAAGCAGTTCTAAGAAGTCCACTACTAAAAAGAAAAGCACAAAACTACTCAACCTGCATTTCCACTTTAATTCATCATGGAGCCCTTTTTGTAGAATTGCACCTATAAACAATCTTGGGAACAAATTTGGGGAAAACAGGGTGTATGACCCTCAGCGGCATGAAGCAACTACCAACACTGGAGGAGAAGATGAGCCCAAAGTAAGAGGATCCCTCTGTGCTTGGATTCTTCTAGGCTGACTTCGTTAGTTGCATAACATTTCAATAGCTACTTGACAGAAGTAAGCAAATAGGGATCTGTGATACAAGATCAAGCAAGAGGAAAGTCACAAAGTAGAGATGACTGCTGAATTCTTATTCTGATCACAAATGTTGGTCTTCTGAAATGTTAAATCTTACCAGAGATAAAATTTAAGGGAAGTGTGGATGTTGGGGCAAGACAGGCCAGGGGTCTTGACTGTGCAAACATGTAATTGTCAATTATTGGACCACTCCTGTCGTGTGATGGAGAAAAGCTATTTAAATGAAGCTCCTTGACTACAGTATCAGGAAATTGTAATAGGCAAGCCTGTCTAACCAAAGACTCATTCATACCAATTGGCCCCATCTTTCACACTGTGTCAGGGTGCCCGGTGTCTAACACAACCACATTTACTATATTTTAGCTGATACAGAGTTTCATAGTGAACTTCCGCTAACTTCATTAACACTTATTTTAAATGTTCAGACACCATACCATAGTAATGAAATCACAGATAAGTAAAACCTCATGACCAACAAAGAACCATTTTTTTCTTAAACCACAAACTTCTAATTCTGGCACTGCATTTTAGTTTGTTCAATGAACGAGTGAGAGAGACTCCTAATTAGAGAGAAATTTATTTTCTAAAAGATCCTACAGACCTTTAGGATCCCACAGACCGACAGATCCTAGAGACCAACTGCTAAAATAAACCAGATTCTTCATTGTTTTAGGACAAGTGATACCGGATCAATGTTTCCATTGATTTTTCCCTTCCTCTGGCCCTTGTCTGGTTCCCTTCAATGATGCTGGAAAATAACTGCTTCTTACAAAAAGTACAGCCAACTCACAATTTCCTGTGTATACCTTATTTAGAAGATGGATGAACTGCTGCATATCCTATACTCGGCTGGTTTTAGTCTCTCACGACATTCATTTGCGTCTCCTTGTATGTGCATGAAAAATGCAAAACAATTTAATTAGTCTAAGATGAAACAAAGCTCTCTCCAAATACAACATGTTTATTGAAATGACTATTTTAAGTCTCATGCCACAGACCCCTTGCCAGTGGCATGAGAGAGTTGACTAGAATATACTTTTTGCAAGGTGGTATCGTTTGTGTGGAGGGGTGGGTAGAAATGGGTGCTGCACGGTCAGAAAACCTGCAAATGTCCAACTTCTGCTTCTTATCAAGTGTGTGACTTCGATCACTTAGACTTCATCGCGAAAATGAAAGGTTTGGTATAACCTTTCTTCTAGTTCTAACGATTCTTACTTTCCTTCATTATTATGTCATCAAGTACCATTTCAATGTGGAGAGCTGTTTAAAAATGATTAATGGTTAAGTTACAAAAATCTGTCAATTCCTCTAACTTAATCACTCTTATTCCTATTTGCTAGGCTTCTATCTTTGAAGTTGTCAGCACACAACTATTATAGTTCTGACCTCTCATTATCTTTGCAGATTCTAGCCCATGCGGCAAGTTAATTGCATAACTGATACACCTCAATATATAGAATGCAGCTTGAGACATTTTTAATACACGGAGTCATGCCTTTAAGGCCCATGGGACAAACCCGTGACTGTCATTTAAAACTGGCTCTGAAAACGCAGTTCAAGAAAGCATCCAAGGGAAATCATCTCAGAAACTGGCTTAAAAAATACTCTTGGACTCCAGAATCTGCAGTTTGACACATACTCTGGTGAAAATACTGGTTGAGGACTTCAATATTACCTAGAAATTACTTGGGAAAATTAACTATTGAAAATATAGGGCACAGCTCTATTAATTAGGGGCAAGGTATTTATTAAATTCACCAAATCTGAGGTTTTGAAATTACATGAAATATTGCAGCTTAAGAATTTTCCAAACAAACCTCTCCCTAGCTATAGTAAGCGGCATGAGAGACTGTCATTAAGTACGTTCTTTAAAAAGTACACTCAAATCCTTAAGCTAAATGCTTTAAAAATGGAAATAAGCAATTCACATTTTTATTTCCTGGGATTAGGCCAAGATGGTTTTTATGTTTCTGAAGCAATCCACAAAGCCAAGATTGAGGTTTCCGAGGACGGCAGCAAGGCATCTACAGCCACCGGTATGTTCATAAAGGGGTCAGCAGCGCTCAGTCACACCTCTTGCCCTTCTCTGCCTGTTAGGTTTATCCAGTTCAATCTTCACATTTCTAAACCTTCCCACTCAAAACCCCAAGTCCAGATGTGGCATGGCAGTTTTTAAAAAGAAAGGTTAACACAAAGAGTTTGAAAAACGATGAGAGAAGAGAAATCCGGTTTGAAAAGGAAGTGTACCTCCATAAACAAGGAATGAAGTCATTCTGAAAATTATCTTCAGTGAGGAATTTATTCCATGGAACATTTTGAAAATGGGACACAGGGTTGCTAAGTGGTATTTTTTTCTCTTCAATTTTCCCATTTGTACCCCACCATAACACTAAACAAATACGTTAGGATGTTTCGTTTTCTTCAAAAATCAAGGGATTAACTGACTTCATCTCCAATTTTAATAGTGACTGCCTTCAAATGAATAAAAAATACAATAGTCTCCTATTCTTTCTCTCCTGCAGTTCTGTTGTTACTGAAAAGGTCTCGGATTCCTTTTTTTAAAGCAGATCGGCCATTCTTCTTTTTCCTGAGAGAACCCAACACAGGTATGACAGTATTTCTTGACAGAATTCAGACACATTAAATATTTATCAGCATCTCTCTAGCAACAAGCGCCCATTTGTCCACTGCAGCCTAAATAAGCATTCCTTCTAGCTAGTTTCTATGGCTTCAGAAGCGTCCCAGTTTCCTGTCGTGGATCCTGAGAAAGGGGAACATTTCCTAACTACAAAGGAAGCTCATATTCTCCGTGTTGTTTTTGGCTTTTCAGCTCATTTTTAGTGAATGTGGATTTGAAAAAAATTCAGGTTTCTACTTCTAGGGAAGACTTAGAAAGATCATGAAAGTAATATAAATGATTCATCTTGACTTTCCCTCCCAGTTGTTGCCTCCCTTTCTCATCCCCAAGGACAAAAGATAGTTCCTTCAGGGCACTAGCGTATCCAAGGAGTCTGACTCAGCAACCCCAGTATTCTAGTGAATGCACCTGGGTTTCTATAGTTTTTCTGTTGATCTTTCTCAAGCGTGCTGAAATTACACAAAAATGAAGTGTTTGCCCAATTACTTCTTAGTTCCACAATGCGACTTCATCTTAAGCCAGAAATGGTATGGAACAGGCAAAGCCTCAGCACATCAGAAGGACAGCAGAGGTCCTTTTAGCTTCAGCGGTGAAAAACGGATTCAAAAGTCCTCTCAAGTGTTTCCCCCTCCCCCCTGACAATTATTTATCAGCCTAGGAAGGAAATGAGATTCTCAGTAAAGAGTTGTTGGCAAGTCGAAACAATGTGTTAAAAAGAAATAGGATGGAACAAGACTAACAAAATCAAGCAAAAGTGGATCTACTTTAACTAAACATCAGGCATTATTTTTATTTATGGAGAGAAAAAAAGTCAAAAGTTAGAATAATGAAAATTACGCATAGGTTTTACACAAATTGTTAAGGAAATACTGTCAACATCATTTTATCTGAGAATCATTTGCATACTGCTGTAACTTGTGCTAGAAATCAAAAGAACACTTCCGTGACAAAAAGGATGAAGATAATCATTCACTAGGAAATAATCTATTGGGGGATTATTTGGGGGAAAAAAGTCCATCAACAGAATATATCCTCCTAGGATTTCACCATGATCATCCCACCCCCATATTTATTAGATGAAATTGTCACTTATCACTCAGAACAGGCAACAGAGAGCCCCGCTCTTAGAAAGGATACATGTCCAAAAAATGAAAGATGAAAAAAGTGACAGGTTCTACTCCCTCAAGAAACAGAGAAAGGACTAAACGTGAATAGAAAGGTCACTGTCAAAAGCGGATAGCCAATAAAGCTTGATGACAGTTAAGAGAACGATTTTGGTTCGGAATTCAACTGCATAACAATGACGTAAAACCTATGAACTAGTAAAGGACACACCACTGTTTCAATGACAGGAGTCTTCAGAACTGCCTTAGCAAACACAATGAAAATAAAAGGCTAATCCAAAACCAGTTCCATAATCCGCCGCCCATCTGAACATAGTCTTTGTGAATTTATTTACCTCTTTCTGGGAGGTACTTGCCCACACCACACAAGGCAAAGTGGCTACTCTTCTGGTGAGAGGGGTGTCAAAGAGATAGAAATCAGTCTCAGCCTTCAGTGCACCTAATTGACAAATCTTACTGATAAGGGCAAATAATGGATCCATTGACATATGGGACATATATGGGAACATTAAGAAAAACGATCTTAATCTCAAGATTAAACTGTTAGAGAATATAGTTTGTCCAGCCTGAAGTCACCCAGTGACCTAAAGGGCCTACAAAGACAGGATATTCCCCTCAAATACAACCCCCCTTTCCTTATAAGAACTCTAGAGTATTTCACTAATTTAACAAATATGCCCAGTTTCTTAAAATGTAAAAAAAACCCTTCAAGATGGGATATTAAGCTTGAGTTTTGATTACTTTCAAACCTTACGGCTAGGTTTTGGATGAGGTTATCGAGTATGGTGACAGAGAGATTAAGGACAGAAAGAGGAGACTGAACAAACTGCTCTTCCCAACTCCCTCCAGGGTTCGTCCCCCAGATGTAATCAAGGGGAAGGGTTTAAAGGATTATCACCTCATGAGCAATCTGTGAAATGTAAATAAGAACTTCCTGATAAGGAAAGCTGCTAAACATTGGAAAAGACTATTTACCTTTCCTAAATATTCTTGTTAAGTATGAACTTTAATCTGAATGATTTGTAATCCGTTCTATTAATCTCAGAATCTAAACATACATAATTTAAGACAATTAAGACCAGACAATATATTCTGGGTTTTGTGTAGCTCCTGAATTTAGCAGTGACTGCAGGTAATCACCTTGACAATTCCATCTATTAAATGATATCCTGCTTTAAAGGTATTTTGTAGAGGTAAAAAAGTTTTAAAGAATTGCATATGAAAATATTGTTAAGTTACATTAAATGCTTCTTTTTCTTGACAGGATTTGTCTTCAGTGTTGGGAGCGTTTCAAATCCCCTAGACTAAATTAAGAGATCTCAAGCATGTTCTCCACTTTCTTCTATGCTTTTCTTCATAAAAAGTTACAATTGCATTCTGCTATACCCTTGAAATTTTAAAAATGTTCTGCTAAAGTCTAAAAAGATAAGGGTATGTGATTTTCAAATATTATGAAACTAAAATTCCATCAATTTTACTATAATTTTATAAACTTATTTTGCCCTCTCTTAATCTAAATGTATTTTAACCTTCTTTTCTATTGGTTACCCCAAAAGCACTACAAGGCACAGCAGTGATCTATGAAAGGTGAGTGAGTCTGGTCACAGGGTCAGCACCCTCAGGGAAGACATGTGAGAGAGAGGTCGTGGTGGGCTGAGAGTGGACAATGAATAGTGTTGGTTTTCCTTATCCTGGGTACTTCACGGGGAATACAAAATGAGCAAAGTCATCTTAAATGTTTCCTTTCCATTTAGCTTCTAAAAAAAAATGGAGAATTTAAGCGTAAAGAACAGCAGAGGAGAACAAAGAGATCCCCTCTGAACTCATTTGTTGTGGGGCTTTTCTAAGCATGGCATCAAGCTGCTTAAAGGCTAGCCATTCCAGAGTAGGTGGTGTACCCCAAACTTCTAACTCCCTAACTAAGAGCTTCAACTTCGTGCCATCCACAATCCTAGTGAGAAAGGAAAAGGGCGTTGAAGGGGAGTAAGGAAACCAATAACGTCAAAGATGTCTGCTTTTTAAATAGCTTTTAAAGTGTCTGCCTATTTGCCACAGATACCGTCTTTTCTATTATCTAGGCAGAAATGGGAGTATGTTGGCGTAGCCAACAAAATCTAAGAACATAGAGTAGAAAGACAATGCAGATTATGTAACAGGTAATTACAGTTAGCTTTAACAAATATGAACTTCAAGTGGTGTATTTTTCCAACGCTTAAAAAGCAAGGCCTTTAAAACTCCATTATCCTTAAGATGGTTTTAAATGATTACTTTAAATGTGATTATTTCCTAAACCACACAAGAGTAAAATAGAGCATTTATTGATGGAATAACAAAAGTGCTTTTCTTAAATATTCTTCAAAATACATTTGTACAACTTACAATAATATATCCAAAATAACTGTATATACAAAACATTACCTAGTTTTAATGTATGTGCTTTTTTCCCCAAAAATTACAAAGTAACTTCTTTTTTATTTTTTCTTTTTGGCAAAGTTCAACCTTAACAGAGGTGACAATTTTAAAGGTTGGTTTAAGAAAATAGAACCTGAGGGAAATTGACACGCAAGAGTCAATGACAAGCAAGAGATTTGGAGGAATATTTTTAGTTTGTTAAATAAAAATGTGTTTTAGAGTGATATTTTTCACATTACAAAAATAAACCAAAATGAAGAAAAGGTCACTGTAAAATGATGGAAAAAGGATCTGTAGACTTGCTCTTAGTATTTCAAATAGCCAACAATGCATGTCAAAAAATGAATGCAAGATCACAACAGTCTTGTATTTACTTTGTATTTGGAGAAGATAGTGAAATAAGTGGCCACATTCTGTTTTCTTTTAATTGCTATTAATATGGTTGATCTGATTGGCTCGTCGATGAATTTCATCCAAGAAGTTCTCCAGTTGTTCTATTAGCATTCGCTTTTTAAACCTGTATAAAAAAATAAGTGACAGCACTCTCAATTTCTTTTTAATGGATATAGAGATCAGTATAATGCTTTTTTAAAAAAGACAGAAACTGCCTTGGGAAGATTTTTCAAAGTAAAATGAAAATGAAAAGCAACAACTTTATGATACAGAAAATCTATTGGAAGATAATAAGCAAATCATTTTATCAGTGCAGAATTACAGTTTGTTCCTAAAACAAATAATCCAGGCAGATATCGAAGTCAGATATTTGTCCCACAGCCATAAAGAAAAACCAAAACCCCTAACGCTGACAAGGGTTACAAATATTCCAACAATATTTGGGCTCCCAAAGCAATGATTCCAATAGCTTCTGATGCCCTTCAAAAGTTGTATGTTGAAGGTATAAGAACATTTTTCCTTCCCCATAAAAGGGAAGGAGAAACGACAGTTGGATAGTAACATTTAAAAACCCTGGTATTCTACTATTACAGTTTGAAAGCTAGCAAACCAAGGATAATTGACATCTGTTAGTAGAGGATAATATAGAAAACACTGAAAGTTCAAGTGGCAATTTAAAATTTACTTCACTAATACAGTAGACTACAATTGCATTCATCTACATAAGTTATTAATATTGGTGACACTTTTTAGAATATCCAAAAACAGTGTCCAATCTATAGCTACTTTTTCTCTACTTGTAAATGAGTATCGACAGCCACCATAATATTACACAACTCCATAAGAGGTGTTAGAAGAGTGCAGGCCACAGGAATATAGCTAAAGCGGTGAAGAAGTCTGAGCTCACAGGATGTTATATAAAGAATAGGTTAAATAAAGAACATGAAAAGTTACTGCCTTATTTTGAACCTTCCAAGTGGTGTATGCTCACTCTAGCCACTCAAGGAAAAAAAAAAAAAAAAAAAAAAAATATATATATATATATATGTATGTATATATAACTACTATATCTAAAAATGCCTTTATGAGTAGCATGGAAGAACCTGGGGGACTATGTGTATTTGGAAGGTCAGATGAGATAACCCTAAGGTTTCTTTTAATACTAAAGAAGTCTTCAAAGAAAAATGTCTTATGTAGTCACTAAACTCATACAACTATGCTTTCTAGTTAACTGCACTTCATAGTTACCATTTATAATCTTGATCCACATTTCTTGTACTAAAGCACATAATCCTGGGCTACTGAAGCAATCAGAATAAGGCCCATTTGTCCAACTCTGCTCCCCTTAATTACATGTTTTCCCATGTACAAATGAACTGCATTCAAATATTGTCTTCCAAGGTTATTTCTAATCACTCATTAATATTAACTGTAGTCCAATATACAAAGGAGAAAAATTGAAGGCTATAAAAATAAAGACCCCAAAAAGCCAGAGACTAGGATCAATGAGAATTATGCCAAGTATCTATAATCTACAAGGAGAAAAGGCCCCTACCTGGGGAAGAATTTGTGTGTGGCTATTTTTTTAAGTGAGTTTCTTTCAATAAAGTAAAACGGAGGAGGAGGAGGACGAGGTCGAGGACGACACAAGGCTGTGTCAGACACGTGCATAACACCACAAGTGCAAGCCACATGCTGTTACAACACTGTCAGCTGGGGACTCATTTCATAATCATTTCATAATGTGCAAGAGATTATTTACCTTGATGCTTCTTTAATGACATTTTGTAAAAATATTAGTCTTGTTTGTAAACTGCCTTGCACATGCTTCAGTAAAGTGAAGATTCTTTCATATTCTTAAAACAAGAGAAGCAAAGAGAAAGATTAAGTGGCTTTTCTATGCACTCTTATTCAATTATTTTTCTACTGTAGTTTAGTATATCAAGATCTGCTAGACGAAACCAAAATATTCTACCACTCATTAATACACATATTTCATTATATATCAACCAAGATAAAATAACTCATCAAAAACAGCATTTCTGGTAAAAGTTCCCACTGAGATATCAAACATAAAGCTTAGAAAGTATGTGACTAGCTTTTGGTACCAATCCCTGAAAAAGCAGCAGCCAGTAGCCTTTAATCAATCTCATCCTTGTAATTTAAATTCTCGACTACAGGTAACAGGGTGGGGAGGGGCACATGGAGGGGGAACTGGTTAAGAGTGCTCGTTCAGTTTCAAGTGTTCACTAAGACTCTGCCAAGGACGGTAGTAAGCTCCTATATGGCAAGGACTGTCTTACCTACTTTTGAACCACCCATGAGTGGTTCCATTCTAGCAGGTGGTCTGTCAATCTGTCAACAACTTTGAATGGACATCAATAATACTGAAATTTTATGCCAAAGTCCCTTTAGATTCATGTCACAGTTTGCTTTTATAACTTTAGTGTTTTGACCTAAACATATCCCTGCTTGCGATCATAGTTTAACCCTGACACAGTGGTAGACACTATGTCAAAATTCTACAGACATGAAACCATTTGATATTTACGACATCTTTTTGGGTTTGCCGCTACATTAAATTCCAGTTGCTGTTAGAAGAATACTCGACTATGGGTTCTTGTCATGGTAGGAACTATGTGTTCAAGCTCTGCTCTCAGCCCCTGCTGCTTCCCATATCCACACCAGACTCCTCTGGATATAGCAGACATTTAATGTTTGTAGGCTGAATAAAAGATCAAATGTTGTTCAAAACTAATCTAGAATCAGGTATACGCTTTTAATTAATCGACTTTCTTTTTTTTTTTGAGCACACACAGGTATCAAATATGGGCTCTGCCTCTAATTATACATACTTCTTCCCGGCTTTCGGATCTCTTTCATTATTTGTGCTTTTAGTTCAGTGTTGACCTCTTCATGGCTTCTGCAGTGCATCAATTTCTTTCCTTTGTTAAGTGAAGATGCTGGTATATTCTCTTCAGGGCATTGTTCTTTATCCCTTGACTCCTCATGGTTTTCTAAAAATCCACCAACAGTGAGGTCGTTAGTTCCTAAATGGTCATGACCAAGGGCCTCTGTGTGATTGGTTGGTCGTTCCAGTAAACTGGCTGGAGAGGAAGTTGAAAATTCAGTATCCATAGCATTTGGTGTAATATCTGATGAAAGTTGGTCTGTAACATGATTTTCAACCACATCATCTACTGTCGAATCATTAGTGGCTTCTGAAACTAAAAACAAAAATAAGGAGAATTAATAATGTGAGCCAACTTCAAAGCACACAGTCAAAAAAAAAAGCTACAAATAATATTACAGCAGATCACAACTAACATCCTTGATGGATGCAAATTAACAAATAATATGATGTGGTTCTTAAGATTTGCCAAAGAGATGGTGGATATCAATGTGAAACATTTACAGTATTTACAAAATCTGTGTAATTTTTGCTCTTAAGAAAAAAAAATGAAAGCCAGTTTCAAACAAGTTTTAGTTCTCTGCTTTATTCT